GGGCTTAGTCCTAAGGTAAGCATCGAATTGAGGGGACCTCATCTGCTCCCAACATTCAGCATACGGCCCAGCAGAAACGCCAAAAGGGCTGGTTTGCTTACTTCGAGTTTCTGAAGACCGTTGCAGCCACCGTAACAAAAAGGATATACTTGTAATGAGGAACAAATGGCCAGGCTCCACTAGATTATTTTGGTCTTATTTAGGAACCTAGGCATACCGTAGCAATTGAACTAACGTAAGCATGAGCAGAAGCTGCTGAGGCACCCAATAGCTCCAGATTCCAAACAAGTCGATACCTGTGACTTAATTTCTCGGTCAACCTCTTCAAATGTCTTCGAATCGTTCGGTCCAAAAATACAACCCCACAGCCAATGTCCACGTCGTGCTCGCGTGAAATTTCCAACTGAAATTGGAATTGTGCAAGCGAAACCGTGCAAAGTATAAAAAACGTTCGAGCATGAGTAGCGCGATCTTACATGCGTCAGCAGCACCGTCGTCAAAGGCTCGTTCGCGTGGGTAGAGAAGAAAGATTTTGGCCCAATTTATACCAGCGGTTTCTTTCTCAGCTTCTTGTCGATAAGCTGTAAAAACCATTCGACATTTTCTGCACTGATTGGAATTTTGTTAATAGTGATTTGTTTTGGCAAACGTCATGTGCGAACTTTCTATAAAGGGAATATTTCTTTTCCACAAGTTCTTTTCCACAAGTTCGTTCCACAGTTTTCCACAGTCTGTAACGCCGCCCCCCCCCTAAAAGGGTTCATTCGCTTAAAGGCACGGGTCGGAGTCTAATTGGTGTTTTGTGTTGTTTGAAAATTAGACGAGAATTGCGATGGGGCAGTTGAGAGGGAAAAAGCAAAAAGGACCATAGGAAACACTGGAATTCTCTTAGCAAGGACGAGAGACACAGCGCTGCGAGGAGAGGGAAAACGCGAGAGAGTACGTCGTACGCGAGAGGGCGCAGACACCACGTATGCCGCGATTGATAGAGTGGCAGCGCCGGCAGCGCACAAGGCAAGGCCTTAGCGCCGTTGCCGCGCACTTTTGAGTCGCGACAGTGTCGCGCCTCCTAGCTTGGGACCCCTCTTTCTCACTCTAGGAGGGACTACCTCTTAGCACCTGACCCCGACCCTGGGCTTTAGAGAAACAGTAATTATTAGCTGTTGATCAATCCCTTTCTGGGATGGAAGGCAAGCATTCTTAGCCGAAGACACAACACTAACAGAATCATTTTGCTCAGGAGAACCCCGCCGTACCTTCATATTGCTTCACCCAACTTGATGGGATGAATTTCGGCATCGACAACATCGTCTGGAGCATGGCTGCTTTGAGCTGGAACTAATACCATTACCAACTTTTGAAAACTCTAACTATCTACCACTGGGGACAGATCAGCAGTGATGCGCAGCTTAGAGCTTAGCTTAGCATAGGACTCACCGCCTCTCTCTCGTCGATTAAACGTTTTATTTCTGGATCGAGGTCGGTTTTGTGCGCTTTGAAGTGGTCAATAGTCTTGTCCAACACAGCGTCCATAACTTTCAATACCTTGGATCCAAACATCAGGAAAATATTTCTGAGATAATTATTTTTCATTGTGCACTTACATTCCCATCGTATGGAATTTTCCCGGAGAAAAATTTCGTGATCACATCATTCTCTTCTGGAGTGAGGGCTTTTTCGAATTCCTGTTAGAACATATATGATCATAGTCGATGGGTACACGATATGGATCAGACAGAAATGTAAGAATACCTTTTCTCTGAAGGCGACCTTCAAGATTTTTCTCGCTGCTTCTAACGAGCGCTTCTAAAAAAACCGAAGGTTAGTGAAGCAGTTACCCTTTTCATCTCACGGTGGCTGAAGAATTTACAGGTCTTGAACCGAAAACCGAAGTAAGGTAGAAGTTGTTTAGGTACCGTCACCCCCGCAATACCTCTGCATTACTCTGGAGGGCGCGACGGGGGGGGAGAGGATGTCCCAGCCTTCGCAGGCAATCGCGAGGACGAGTCGCAGCGCGTGCTGTGCGATATGAGACGTAGTATGGTGCACTCTATGTAACCTGTCGCCAAACCGCTATAGTACACGCTGCGACTCGTCCTTTGCCGCGTCTGTGTCTCTTCCTTCGCCGTGCGACGGGCTTCTCTGGGGGACACCCGGGGGCGGTGGGAAAGGGGTGACCGAATGTGACTTTTCTACATGGCGCATATCGGGAAACCTTTTGCTTCTCGTCCCACATGGTATCACCACTGATGGCAGTACGATAAAATATTCCTGAATGTCTTACGATCAGCCGAAGCAAGCTCTTGTTCATTTCCCTCTTTATCTCATGAATATGAAGCCATTTCCCATCACTGTCGAGTTAACCTTTCAGACTCTGAATTTTCTCAAACGCGGAGAATTTTCTTTGCTACTTGTTTATTACTTGTGAGCAAATAGGTATCATTATGGCGAAATTTGGAAGCTATTCGATCACAAACAAAGAAACTGAGAAGCTTTGAAAATTGGCCCACCTTCTTAGTTTTTAAGCTTATGTCGAAACAATTCGAAATTTCATAGTTATGCCGAAAAAGTTTATAATCTTGCATAACATTATAACCCATAATTTTGATTTAGGAATGGATCCACTTCAAGTATTTTAAGAAAAAGTCACACTTACTTGGCCGGTTGCGGGGGTCAGCGCCCATTCATTGTTGCACTTGTACACAAATACTTGTAATACTAACAGCAACACACAATGAAATGGCAGGTTTAGCTCATAATTAGGAAGGGGAAGGTTGACTGAAGCAACCTCTAGCAGGATTAGAAAAACCATGCTGTTTCAGCGGCAATGCAAGCGTTTGAATTTGGTGGTGGCAATTGCCACCGCCAGGGCCGAAAGGGTTAAAGGAGACCTACCGTAATGCTCCAACTTGAAGCTGCTACCCATTTATTTTTTGATCAATTCACTGATGAGCAGTTTCCAAGAGACGGTAGCTACTTGTGAAAGCCCCTCGCTGACCAGCGTCAAGACAACTTCGTGTTGGTCCACGACAGTCGAGGAATTCGATGAGCTCAAGTCTTACATCATATTCTCATGGGAGACTCTTATTTTCGGAGCGAAGCCCTTGTTGAGGATTTCCTCGACTGTTCTTCACCCTTCCCTGGAGCCTTTTCTCCATTCCCAGCAGCTCAGTGCTGCTTTCTTTTTAACAAAAAAGAGGGTAACATGGTTCAAGGTGCAGTGCCACCTAAGCCCCTCTGTCTTGCGATAGGACCGTCAAACAACATTCCCTGGTAATAATTCTAGGGAATAAAGTGAACAAAGAGATGTAACTCACATCATCCGGACGAATGTCTCGAAGCGTATTCAAATCAAACTCCTCCAGCACCTTCATCAAGTCAACATCCTGCAAAAAAGTCCTTCAAGGATAATTCAAATCACTTATGCAGTCGTAAACTTCTTGTTGGTCCATAAAAGTAAAAAAAACAAGATATTGCGATTTTCTTGATGAGCGAGAAATTCCTACTTCTTCGAGGGCCGCGAATACATAGTCCTTTCTACGCCTTTCAGAAGTTTTTCTTGCACTGGCTTCTGACTTATCCGTGTCTGCCTGAAAACAAACACAGGAGTGAAAACGTTGAACTTCCTGTCAACAGGTCAACAAAACTTCGAAAGTGTTGGTGTGGGGGGGGGGTCAAGTAGCGGGGATGGTGGAGAAGGACGAACATAACCCATGTAACTTTTGAAACAATTAAATTTTTCGGAGATTTTCAAAATTCTAAAAAATCTAGCAACATATTCTTCGGATCTCTTCCTAAAATGTGGCTCCCGTCCCTTTAACTCGGTCAGACAAGGAGCACAATTTTATGAGATTATTTTGAGCTTCACGATTGACAATACCGTGGCGGTCTAAAGTTTTGGTAAGCAGGACATTTTATCATTAACTCTGTTAGACCAGTGAAACAAGCAAACCAAAACAGTGTTGTTAGTCATTCGTCTCATAGGGCAAAAATAGGTTGGGCTGAATTCTGTCATCGGATGCGCTGATACGGACCAGGGAGTATAGAGTGAGGCCCTTCAGATGAAGAGTCCGTGTTTTTACAGCCCTGAAGATGAAGAGGGAAATCGTGCGCAGTGGCGCGCAGGTAAGACTCATTAGAATGATTCCCCGTTTCCTGCTGTGTCGCCTTCAGGGAATCGAAAATTTCTACGGTTTGAGGGCTCCTGCTCGCTGGCTAGCCGTACATGGAATCGAGCGGGGTTAGGTAGGCCGCTAATTTTGCAAAATGCATGATATTTAGTTCTACTCAAAAGGAGACATAGTACCTAGCACGTAATTTACAGGAAACTAGACATAAAGAGATTCAAAGAAAGGTGGCCGAGCGGAAACCGTAACTTTGAGTCATCCTGTAGATCATTGACTCGCCATCACCGATGACATGACCCACGGCGGAAGCTTGGCACTCTTTATGACACCTTTTTCATTTACCTTTTTATCAACAGGTAACTGCCGAGAAGGTTCTCTTGCGCTATGTTCCTCGAGGCTTTCAGTCGCCTCCTTTTGCACGTTGGCAGCCGCTGCGAAGGTGCCTTTTTCTAAAATAACATAATGTTTAGATGTTCTGATGACAAAAGGGTTTCTGGATGAGCTCCTACTCGTCAAGCGACCCTTTTGTAGAATAGTGCTCAGGAACCAACTTTTGACATCAGAACTTTACATGTAGTGGATTGTTCTAAAGGCAACCAAAGAAGATGAACAATCCCCGGCGCACGAGATTCTAGTGAATCTTCAGACCAAATAGTGTATTTTTCAAAGGGATTACGAAATTATGCGTAGCTTACAACCCTACAGTTATTTTGCCCGTTTCTCTACCCTTACACCAAAGGCCGATGTCAGACTGCAAATTCATTCGCTAGCGAATCCCTGGATTCGCAAAGTCTGACATCGACCATACGTTGACCTTATAAAATATGGGAGAACTCCTTTTGAATATGTCGACATAAAGCTCGAAAATTCTGGACCCTTCGATTAGCACGAAAACTCAGTGCTGCCAGGGAAGTTATGCCGAAGATAAAAATTTGCTAAGACCAAATGAATTTTCAGGAGCGCGTCAAACGAAACCTATGGAGGATTTTGGCCTCCGGGAGGGAGGAACTTACTGCGCCATAGTGATGACGCAAAGGGATGACTGAAGACTTCGTTGCATGTCGACCTGAGCTAAGTGAGTAGTTGCTAAAATGATAAGATTGTTCGACGTTGATACCCCCACCCCCCTCACCCCCTCCTCCATTTCTGTTTTCGTCCAGAATCATAAAGGAAAAGGATAAAGCATTTGCCGTTGATCAATCCCTTTTTGGGATGCGGCACGCATTCTACTTCCATTTGTACATTCGTAGTGGCATTTGAATGCGATGTGGCCTATACAATGACTTGCGGGGGCCAGCCGATGTTCAAGTCAGTGTTTTTATCCTCCCAGACAAGTCTGGTACCAATTAACCGACCCCGGAGGGATGGAAGGCTTGGTTGGCCCGGGCGACTCACGACCCAGGATTTGATCCCCGGACCGCTCGCGTGGTAAGCGCGCCACTTGTCACTACACCACTTCCGCATCGTAAATATCATATGTCCTTAATGGCGAGTTGTCTGCGTTCTTTCAGACAAGCAGAAGAGAAGTGGTCAAATCTTGTGACCTTGTGAATTTGATCCCTCATAGCGATTTAATAACAAATCACTCTGAAATTACCTCATCGTTTGAGCGTACTGGAGTGGATGCCTTCGCTGTGTGGACTTCCAGGGTGGGCTGCTTCTCTTTTTTGCGACTTTCCTGTTAATCAAAATCAACCAACAACATACTGCTTCAATGTGATCAATCTAGGATTTATCAGCACTGTAAAATATCCTTATGAAGCTCCTCCAATTGCTTCAACGTCTAAAGTGAGTGGGGATGGGCAGGATTTTTAGTACCCAGTCTTTTTGACGTGAATGGTGGCAGAATCGTCTAATTGTAAGAAGCTGAAAGCGCCTCATACTTGTGACGCTGGCGGATCCTCAAAAGCCAATGTTCTCTCGAAAACGATTGGTGGGTAGGAGGTGCTTCATACTTCCATGAACTATCTCAATGCTCTCGAGAATATGTGGTAAGGTGAAGCGAGCTATGAGAAAGTTGCCAATTTGAAGGCGGATTTCACAGTGGAAAGGGTACATTAGAAATAAGGGTAGGGGTGGTCAGTGAAGTAGGAACCTGCGGCGAGTGATTAGATAATCGGTGGGCGGATTGCACCAAAGGGAAAGCCATTTCTAGATCGCCGGGGCATATCCATTGATGCGATTGCGCACCCTTAGGGAACCGCCTGTCTCTCCACTAGATAAATTTCACCTTCTTCAACCTTCTTTCTTATCATGGAATTCATCTTCAAACTGGTTAAGCGTCAAAAATGGTTAGAAGAAGCCACATTGTTCAGCTCGATCCGCACATGATTTTGGCGTGGAGCTGTCGCGTACGTTTTAGGATTGGTCGCCTTGCTCGATTAAGATCTCTTTATATCACCATGCACAAGGTGCCTGAAAGTCCCTCCCTCCTGTTCCCCCCCCCGCAAGGATCCGGACGCCCAATGGAAGAGAGAGGGTATAGGGAATCGGGAGTTATTTGCCTGGAGGGCTGTGAGTGAACAAAAAACTATTCTCATGCAACTGCGATTCGAGAGCAGCAGTTGGGTACCTCTAGCAGGAACGAACGCGCATAGTAGCAGTTGACGCCGAGACAAAACATGCACCTTGCTCATGCGATCTTCAGAAACTTAACACATTGACGACATTGAGACGCGGTAACGCGTCTCACTTTGCGCACCTCGTTGGACATTGAGACGCGTTACCGCGTCTCACCCTTATCATCCCTTTTTCTAGGGCATGCGCAGCTTTTTCCCGAATTGTTTGTCTCTCTTCTATGGATTAGAACATAACATTATTGTGAACGACATAGGTCATTGTTTGTTCAAATATGCTCCAGTTTAGAAGAAGTTTTCCAAGCTCACCGAAACCGGCGGCTTGGTTCATTAATAGTTTTCATGCTATTCTCATGAACACGTCAATAAAAAAGGGTAGTGAAAGTAAATGCAAATCTAAAGAGACAGAAAAATACATGTTTCACTTGGTATAACCACATCAAAAGAGCTTTTGGCATCCACTACAGATAAAATGACTAAAGTTTCCTTTTTCATTACCATTACATGTTCTTTAATCGGAACTTCGTCACTATATACTCTATTACCTTCTACGCATTGACTGTTACTGAGATGTTTTTGTACCACTGGTGCTTTAAAAAGTTATCAATAAAAATTCACGGATCCGAGGTGCGGCGGTCGCACTCGCAAAATCGGCCCGGTCCCACACGGCCAAAAAAGCCAAAACGCGCGCGGTCGTCAATGTGTTAAAATTCGGACTGACTCCTGCTGACTCGCTGTATTGCATACATTGGGTGAAGTTAACCGAATTAAAGGCAGTGATTACGATAGATTCAAGAAGGGTTTATAGGAGACTGGTGGTGCTCAAGTGGTACGCCAGTAGCGAAAAAAGCGGAGAAATCCGTCAAGAAAACGCAAAACGGGACCCCTTTTTGGCCGTTGGTTTTCACTCATGAACAGGTAACAGCTCAGAAAGCGGACGTATGAACGAGTTCAGCGCAACGCGTTTGGTGCACCATGCCAACCATGCTCCATCGAGTTGCTCCAGTTGTGCCGCTGCTGGCAACGCAGCTCGTCCAAATCACCAACTAAACTAGTGGGCGGATCGCTTTTGGGGGCGGAGTGCTTTCGAAGTCCTGCTCAGCAACCAGCGCACCTTTCGTCGTGAAAGCGCCACACCTCGCTTCCTTGGCAGCCAAGTAACTGATTCGTGTGGTGTTTTCCACGATATGCTCCCACTTTATCGTGTAATCGCTGCCTTCAAAGGATTTATTTTGACCGCTGCTGGGATCGCGTACAAAAGATGTTCAAAGACATGCTATTGTGAAAGTTGATACATTTATTTCCATGACCACTTTAGCATTTGCAGGCAACTGTTCAAAGGCTACGCATCTCAGTGGGAGGAGTTCGGTAAGGCCCAGCGAGTTCGCCATTGGTGACCGTATCATGTTTGGCGAGGGCAACGTAACCATCCAACAAGGAGGAATGGACGGGACCTGTCCTAGCCTCGCCTCCTCATTTGCAGTGCATCCACCAGGATAAAACCATACAATCCTTCAGTACTCGCTAAAGTACTGCACACACCAGAGTCCAGCTCTGGTGAAGAATTAATTTTCTTGACCAACGGACCGGTCTCTGGTGTTCACCCAGGTGCGATTCCTGACGGTGTGGAAAAGGCTCGAAAATTTTATGCCTTGATGTCATTCAAGGACTGCTTGTGCAGCGTGGAGAGAAATGAGTCTAGGTCAGCAGAACAATGTTTGCTTAATTGAGCACCATATTTGTAAGACGAACCTCCTCTTTCTCCTGGGACTCGATTTTCCCTTTCTCTGACTTCTTCTTTTTCTTCTTCTTCTTCAAAAACAGTTATTATTGAAATTAAATAATTTATTTGTTAAACAGTCCCATTACCGATAACGTATTCGGCGAGTTTTTCCAGCGCAATCTTCTGAAAAAGAAACCTTTCCCGCAGTTTTGTTGTTTATTAGATGGTTCAGAACGTTCTTATGGTTTTTGACCCTACATCTCAAATGCCATACTATCTCGGTTGAACGGAAAGTTTTCGATCAAAATGACCCTCACAAATTTACGAAAATATTCCAAAAAAGCTCATCAATCAAATGACACGTAATTTGGCCACAAACTTGCCCCTAGGGGTAGTGTTATCTCCGGGAACGAATATTCACACCTGTCTGCTGCAAAACCGACTATCAAGAGTTCTGCGGGCTCCACGTATCCTCCTCGTTGGCATGTAGCGCAAAAGTTTGTTAGGAACTCCCTCGCAACATATTTGTACGGACTAGTATGTGGCAACGCTGACCAAGGTAACGTAGTTGGACGAATGCCATCAGGGAATTGTTCCTATGACTTGGCGCTCGCCTGGACGACTGCCGCTGCTCTATTTTGCTTCATAACTCCGTTCAGAAAAGTATCGATTAGCAGATTCGGGGAGCAAATTCGAGATCAGCGTCCAAAAACACATCCATAGTGTAGGTCTCACTTACATAGGGCTATATCGAACCATCAACCTTCCCTGGTTAGCAAAGTTCGTAGCCTTTCTGACTCACATTGTGGAGGATTTGGTTTGCAGTGGTTCAAGATATGTGGGCGAAAACCCTCGTGTAAAAGGGTTTTAGAGGCCGCTATCAACGTCTAATATCACACGTTAATAAATACCATTCTTATTTTCGAGGCTCTTGCTATGGTATAGACTGTTGGACAATTACTTAACCGTACTTCACTGTGACCCTGGGCATCAGCATCTAAAAGGTAACGTCAAAAACCGCAAGAGCTTTCTGAAGAATCAAATTATTTGAGCAATGTGAGGTTTTTTTTGTTAAGAAAGAAGAGTTATGGGCCAAAAATCTGATCATTACCTAGTCGGCAGCTTAGTAACGAAAGGGCGAAGTACCGCTTTCGGCTTCTCGATTTCAGTGGGCATTTCTTCCTCACTGTATGCTTGCACAAATATCCTGCAATGTGATAGGTTAAAGGCGAAGTTTACGATGAAAACATAGCCCACTAAGAGCCAAGGTAGAGGTGGTCACTAATGCCAGGAAAAAAATCAAGAGAAACAACCTTAAGCTCGAAAAATGAGACCCCACTCTGCTCGTTGATTCGCGCGTAATGCAGTGCCTCATTGGTGCTGACCTCATCAACGATAAGCGCTCTCTCTCTGCTAAGGGGCTAGAGGCAGACGACGAGGGAGAGGGCGGAAGCTACGATAGCGGCGCGGGGATGGCCATGTAGATCGCCGCGGCATACTCATCAACTGTGAACTGCTGTATCCTTCGCTGTGAATTGCGTGTAGATCATCTTCAGGGGGTGCACCTGTCTTCCCTCCAAGTGGGTAACCGAATCCTCGACCTCCGACCTCATCTTGGAATCCTCCTTTAACATTAATGGTAAGAAAATTCGTCGACCACATAAAGCTTTATTCCTCGATTCGTTAGCATTTGGCTCAATTATGTATTCCGGAAGCATTCAGGGATTGTGAAAGTTCCTAAAGCGTGTTGATAATCGCGCAACGAAGTTCGTAAGCTGCACAAATTGCGCAATGACGAGTTCTGTGGAGAAAAGGAACTCCGGCGGCAGCTCCGTCCTATAAAGTACGCTAAATCAACTCACCCTTTCTTCCTCATTTCTTCTCGTTTCCGAACTTTTCCGGTTTCCTTTTGCCTCTTCTTGTCCACTGCTTCACCCGAGTCACTGAACGATGACGATTGCTGCACCCTTTCTGATTCCTTAGACTTTTCTTCCTCAAGGCTTTTCGTTTTTCGTTGAGTTCGCTTTTCATCGTTCTTCTTGAGATATTTGTGGTACTCCTTGTTGATGAAATCTGCGCCGACCTTCTTGCCTGAACACAGCTACCGTAAGCAAAGCCATCACGACTGGCGACGTTCGACCCTAATCATGCAGAGCAATGTGCTACCGTACCAAACAGCTCGGCCGATAACTCAGATGGGGAACTCTTAAACGAGAGGATATTCGGCAATTGGGTGAGCCCTTCTGCTCCCCTGACTCAAATCTCATCGAATCTGTGCGGAATACGGTGGGAGAAGTATAGCAGCACGTCAACAATAACAATAGAGCAGTGGTTAATCGCGTTTCTCGGGAATTGAACACCTTTTCACAGTCCTTACCAATCTTGTGGTCGGTATCTTAGGCTGGTGTCACAGTCCGCGTCCTCGCGCGATTCGCGCAAATCGCAAAAATCGCAAGTGCCCCATTTGAACATTTGAAACACTGAATATGAAACAAGTAGAATCATGAACAGTCGTCATTCAATCATCACTATCAAGCAGAAATGGCGACGGGATTGGAGGGCACCTTGCAGTACTGATCGGGGCACTTGTGATTTTTGTCGTCGTGCGACCTTGTGGCCGGATCGCGGACTCTGACACCAGTCTTAGAGCGCCGTTCGTAGTTGTCACACGCCCTATCAAGAGCTAGGTTCGGTCTCTTGGAGGATTATCATG